TGAAGTTGAGCATAGCTTGAAGGCCAAGCCTAACGCGTTTTGGCGCTTTGTCAACTCAAAAAAATCACACTCGTCTATACCTTCAACCATGTCGTATGGTGATGTTTTTGCTTCCACTGGGGCCGATATCGCAAATTTGTTTGCTGCCTTTTTTCCTCGAACATGGAACCTTCCGATGATTGGTATGTCCTGGAAACTTTAAATTCAATTGCAGAAATTTGCAACATTGGAAGCGTGGACATATCGTATGATGACATTTCTGAAGCAATTAGTTATTTTGATGATTCCCCAAGACTAGACTTTGATGGAATTTCTTCATTCTTCCTTCTGTTCTGTTCTCTTCTTCCTTGTTTCAAGGAAGATTCCCAATTAGATGGAAAATTTCTAGAGTCACGCCGGTCCATAAAAGAGGACGTAAATTTGATATTTCTAACTATAGGCCAATTTCTAAGATGAGCAGCATAGCTTAATTGTTCGAAAGAATAATTTTCAAAAAATTAACTTTCTTAATATGGTCTTACATCGAACCTAATCAACATGGTTTCATGCCCGGTCGATCTACGACGACCAACTTGGCTGTCTTTACCAATCATTGTATAAATGCATTTGAGGATCATTTGCAGATGGACACGACTTACGCAGATTTTACCAAAGATTTTGACAAGGTTTGTCACTCTGCCCTAAACGCTAAACTTTCCAAACTTGGCTTTCACTCCTCTTTTCTTAACTGGATAGCATCGTATTTGTATAACCGACGCTATCATGTTCAAGTAGGATGTGCATTATTCCATCCTTATAAAGCGACATCTGGACTTGCTCAGGGTAGCTCCCTTGGCCCTTTACATTTCATTATTTTTATAAATGACATTTGTGCCTGTATCCATTTTTCTAGCTTCCTTTTATATGCGGATGACCTAAGGATTTATAGGAGTGTCAGACCTAGATAGTATCGGTAGTTGGTGTTTCAAGAATAGTTTGCCTTTAAGCCTTAACAAATGCCACATCGTTCGTTATGCGAAACGTACTGTAACCATTCCATCCACTTATCACATCAATAAGCACCACCTCTGTTTTGAATGAAATAGTTGATCTGGGGGTATTATTTGATGACAAATTTCTGTTTAATGAGCACCTGAACTTTATATTACCATAGGCTTATGCAATGTTCGGCTTTGTTAAGCGAAACGCTTTATTATTCAAAGATCCGTATTCCAGATTGTCTGTATACTCTGCCCTTGTCCGTTGAAAATGCTTCCTTCATTTGGAATCCCTCGGGAAGTGTCCAGATCAATAGGATTGAGAGGTTGCAGAAAAAGTTTTTGAAGTTTGCATTGCAATCCTTGCATTTTACTGAACCGGCACCGCCCTATGATAGTCAGTGTTCCCTAATTCACACTTGTTCCTTGAAGGATCGCCGTGCAACTGCTGGCCTTCTCATTTTGAACGATCTGCTAGTAGGAAACATTGATTGTCCTTGCCTGTTGGGATGCATCAATTTTAATGTTCCTGCCAGGAATCTCCGTACCATGGTTCCATTCCTGGACCATGCTGTCAGGACAAATTATGCACGCAATGAGCCACTACTAAGGGCTCTTAGATTGTTTAATTCCCTGCCTTCTAGAATTAGATTCAGCTAGGGGCTGCTAAGACAAACCCTCAGGGAATATTTTTTAAATAATTTTCAATAATAGATTAAAGGCAATCATATGTAGCCATATTAGGATTTATCCATTGGCGATAAGTAAATAAATACAAAAACAAACAAATAAATTTAAAATAAAATATATTAGTATCAAAAACTTTTAGTTATTAAGCCTGAAATTAAACAAACAAAAATAGTTTGCAATAATAAAGTTGAACCTAAAGCTAATGGGTGGATTGTATTTAAAAAATAATAGAAGTAGTAATAATTAAAAAATATATTGTTAATTGAATAATTTCAAGAGGTAGAGTATTTAAAATATTAATTTTGGGGATTAATGAAAAAGAAATTTCTTTCCTCTTGAAGTTTTAAAAGAAAAAATCTTATTTTTGATTTACAAGACCAATGTTTTTATTAAACTATTAAAACTAATGATTATAATTTTATATTGAAGTTTACCTATCATTTTATTTATTTTAGGTTTATTTTGTTTTGTTTCTAATCAAAGTCATTTATTTTCAATACTTTTAAGTTTAGAATTTATTGTTTTAATATTAACTTTCATATTATTTATTTATTTAAATATATTAAACTATGAAAATTATTTTAGAATAATATTTTTAACATTTAGAGTGTGTGAAGGGCTTATCTATTTTAGTTTCTATAATTCGTACACATGTTAATGATTATTTTCAATCTTTTAGAATTATATGATATGTTAAAAATTATTATACGCGTTACTCGTAGAGTAAAAGGGTATACTAGATTCGTCGGAAAGTATGTAATTTTAATTTTTATTTATTAATTTATATAATATATAATTATCGCGCTAGTCACATTGAGTTGATATTTTATATTATTATTATTTTTAAATTATTAAAACTATTTCTCTCGCTCTCCTAATTAATATTAATGACTAACATACAATTTTCGTAGTTTCTTAGTTACTATTATTATTGTTTTTAATATATATATATATATAATATATATATTATATATATATATTATATATATATATTTTTTTATTTTTATTTTATTTTAAAAGATCTTTAACTTTATTGTAAAATTGAGTTGCGCTCCTAATTGTTTTGTATTGGTGCGGTAGATTGTTCCATAACCGGATACCATCTATGAAAAATTGCTTTTTCGAACACAGTGTTTGTACTCGAGGGCATATGTAATTTTTGGTTCTTACAGATGTGGCTGGGGTAAGTTTATTGAAAAGATATTTTGGTTCTCCACTCGTCACTATTTTGTGAAAGAAGATTAAAATTCTGAGATCGATTCAGGAGGTCAAGTTAAGGTCAAGTATTTTATATGTCAGGTCTGATACATGGTCAAAACGTCTTAAGTTAAACACATAACGGACAATTGAATTAAAAGCTACAGTTAATGTGCGCAAATCCCGCGCATCACAATTTCCAAAAATTTCTATGCCGTAAAAGAGAGTGGGCAGCTGGATAACTTTGGCGATTAATAGTCTAACTTCCTCAGTTAGGAACGATTTGGAGAATGAAAATTTGTTTTCAGAAGAGCATATGTACGCCATGTCGCTTTGACTATATGGTTGCTCCATGATAAGGTATTGTTAAATGTTATCCCTAGATTAACTGCATTCACTTCATAGCTTATCGGCGTATGGTTTATATAAAATTTTTGGAGTGAAAGTGTTGAAAGTTGCTTTTTATCAATTACCAAGTACTTAGATTTTTTAGGATTTATACCCAAGCCATTTTCCTTTGCCCATTTTTTAATTAGCCACAACATTTTATTACTTATACGGACACAGTCATGTATTTCAGTATTTACGGGTCCACTAACATATATTTGGACATCATCAGCATATAAATGTACTTCACACTCAGACAGGATACTAGGGAGATCATTGACATATATAGAAAACAATAAAGGGCCTAGCACAGATCCCTGTGGCACTCCCCTGGATAAGTTCCGGAGAGAAGAAACTTGCGTTCCAGAGACGACTGCTTGAAACCTATTCGTTAAGTACGACCTAATAAGCTTCGTCGCATTAGTTGAGAAATTAAACATATTCCTAAGCTTGGTACAGAGAATGTTATGATTCACAGAATCAAAAGCCTTGCTGTGGTCAAGGAGCGTCAAAAACGTTACGCAGTTACTGTCCAGTTCTTGTCATATATCCTCAACAATGTTAGTGATTGTAGTAATACAACTCCTTTTCTTACGGAATCCAGATTGTTTTTCGTCAAGTAGAGAATTATTAGCTAAGTATAGTTGAATCTTCGGCCAAAGAGCTACGGGGATGGCTCTGAGGGCGCCGAGCTGAAGGCTACCGAACGGGTCGCAGGTTGCGGATAGCGAGCGCCCTGGTTCTCCAGGGTAGCTACGAATAAGCGTGGAAGTTGGACACGGCCCGGCTACCGCCAAGCCCCCAACACGAAGCGCAAATAAGTAGCCCCGGGCAGTCAGCGGGTATCTGCGCCGTAGCAGTACCGACGTCGCGCTTGTGCTGCCGCCTCCGACAAATAGCTCACACATACCCCTTCCCACACTCTTTGAACCTACCTCTTCCCTACCCACACAACTCATCTCACCCAGGGCTGGACTAAGATGTCACTCGTACCTTGCCGAGAGTCAATCTGGCTGGGAGCCCGAGTCATCAAATAACTCAGTCACAAACGGTGAGCTCAGGCAAGTGGCGACCGCCTGTTCTAAGTCAGCCTTACCCGGGTACGGCGGATCTCTGCCCGGGTGGACCTGTCCTTTCTCCGCAGCTCGAGGGATTCAACATGGAGAACTTAACTAATAAAAAACAAAAAGACTGCACCAGACAAGAGCCCGACACTCTTAAAAAGTCGGAAGTCGTAACCAACGACGATAGAAAGAGCAAGATCACGGCTCCGACCACCCCAGTCCATGTGACGTCTACCCCTGCCAAGGCCAGCGAACAACGCAGCCGGCTAAGCCCAACTCGCCATAGCGACAAGCCCAAGCCTCCCACCAGCGTAGGTGTGGCTAACCAGCCACTCCAACCTGAGGGGAGCGCTAAAGCCGGTCTCGTGGTGAGTACCAGGGCAAAGGAGTTTAAGAGGATACCACCTAACCAGGCAGGACCTCTTGAACGAAACAAAGTTTTTAGGATCCTTAAACGGCTGGCGACCAATCCAACACGTGAGGATCAGACGTCAAAATTGGATAACCTGAAAATCCAAGAGGACATAGCCTGGGAAAGGCAGTAATCCCAGACTTCGACATCGCAATGACTACCAGCAACAGCAACAAGCGAGAGAGGTCGATGGAGTCAGCTCAACCAGCGAGCAAGAAGGCTAAGGTAACCAGCCGCGGCACATGGTCGAGATCCTTTGCGGAAGTGGTAAAGGATCGGAAGATCATTGGTGTCATCGACCAGAGCGATGAAGGCGGTAGGATCCCAAGAAACCAATGGGGTCTAGTTAGACGGGCCCTTGCGTCAGTGGTCTTGATAGTGCTGGACGAAAACCCAGGCCCGCCACCCGATTGCACAGATGCAGGGTGGTACCAGGGCATTGTTAAGTTGATCGCCTGCGAAGACGAGAGATCGGCAGCACTCTACAAGGCTGCAATTAACAAGGTCGCTTAGGTCTACCCCGGGGCCAAGCTGGCAGTTTGCGAGGCTGCAGACATCCCGTCTCGACCGAGAGCGAGGGTGTGGCTGCCGTCGGAACCATCGGAACCGGAGGCTATAATCAGCCTGCTGACCAGGTTCAACCCGAAACTTCCAACAGACGGTTGGAAGGTGGTCAAGGTGGAGAAAACCGAGCGCGTCACCATGAACGTGGTTGTCCTCCTAAACCAGGCCTGCTTGGAACCCCTCGCAGCCCAACAACACCGGGTGAACTACGGGTTCGATAAGGTGCAGCTACGAATCTACGACACCGATAAGTTAGCGGCAGACAACCTGGCTGCCTGTGCGTCGTGCGAACCCCCGAGCGACGACGAACTAGAACATGAAGAGGCCACCCTCACCGGCTACGTGTCAACCGACTCGGAGCTGACAGAGAGCCTGAAGCAGCTGTGCACCCAGGACACAACCAGACCAGGGCGCTCTGTTCTCCAGGACATAGCGGAGGAAGCGGAGGGTACCCAGACCAACCCCAGTCCCAAAGATGGTGCAGTTTCTGCAAATTAATCTGCACCACAGCAAGGCAGCATCCGCTGCCCTCCTCACCCGCCTGGCAACAGGTAACATAGACGTAGTCCTCATTTAAGAGCCATGGTAACAACATCTGTGGCTTATCAACCCCCCTATACAAGCTATTTTACACCAAGGACAAGGGTAAAACCAGAACCTGCATTCTTACAAAGACACACTTTAATACATTTCTTATTCCACAGTTTAGCGAAGGCGACCTCACCACGGTCAGACTGGAGCTAAAAGAACACACTCATCACACCATACAATTATTCTAACTGGCTCACGACTACGAAGGGCCACTACCAAACACCACTACAAAACAACTCATACGCACTTACTCATCTAAGGAACTCATCCTGGGTGGGGACGCTAACTCAAATTACACACAATGGGGAAGTAAAAACACCAACGAAAGGGGTGAGTTACTCTAAGACTATCTCCTTCAATCAAATCTATTCATCTGCAACAAGGGTAATGACCCAACTTTCATCACTAGAAATAGGAGGGAAGTACTAGACATTACACTAATATCTGATCCCCTACTTAACCAGCTAGAAGCGTGGAAGGTGGGGATCGAACACTCATTCTCAGACCACCGATACACAGAATTTACAATAAGTCTAGACTGTCCTCCCGCCGAGAATATCACTAATCTAAGATTAACCAACTGGGGATACTACAAAAATCTCCTCAACAGGAACCTACACGCTCCTCCTACACACATACACAACCGTGAAGAAATAGATAACCTAGTTAACACTTTTACTGATATCTGCGGTGAGGCCTTAAAAAGGGCTTGCCCAAGCAGAACAGTCAAAACAAAGCACAAACCCCCTTGGTGGAACGCAACCCTGGCAAACCTTAAAAGAGAGTGTAGAACTTACTTCAATAGAGCTAAATACAACAATAGCGAATCCTCCTGGAATTTATATCATACAAAACTAAGCCTATACAAAAAGGAAGTTAGAATATCAAAATGAAGAGCTTGGGCTAACTTCTGCAGTAGCATAGAATCTACTGCAGAGACATCCAGACTCAGAAAAATTCTAGCAAAAGCTCCAGCAACCATTGGCTATCTAAAAACCAATGCTGACAGCTGGACGGAAAACAATCAGGAAACCCTTGAACTACTGTTAGAGACCTACTTCCCTAAGAACACACATGTAGTGGAGGACCTCCACATAGAGGAGAACTTAGACGACCAGAGTATTGACAACATTTCAAACCCTGGCATCATTCAGTGGGCTGTCAACTCTTTTAAGCCCTTCAAATCACCTGCCCCAGATGGGTTCTTCCCGGCCCAGCTACAACGGACACTAGATATGTCCCTACCCTGGCTGACAGCCATCTTCCACGGCTGCCTTGCTCTAAACCATATTCCAACAAGGTGGCTGGACGTTAAGGTAATTGTTATACCGAAAGCCGGCAAGCCCTCCCACACCAACCCAAAGGACTTCCGCTCGATTAGTCTCTCTTCCTTCTTGTTGAAGACCCTGGAAAGGGTAATTGACACCCATGTCAGGCTAACCATCGACCGAAGCCTACTCTCTGACGCACTGCACGCGTACCGTAAGGGCAGATCAACAGATACCGCCCTCCATTCTCTAGTGTCCACTATAGTGAGAGGTTTCCACAATAAGAAATACTCTCTGGCAGCGTTTCTAGACATAGAAGGCGCCTTTAACAACGTCACCCCAACGGCGATTACTGGTGCTCTGACTGAACTGGGCATTGAGCGGCCCATAGTGGGACACATACACACCACACTAACCAGCAGAGTAGTGTACTCCACTATGGGATCGGCCCACTCGACCAGGAACGTCAGCAGAGGAACCCCACAAGGGGGCGTACTCTCACCTCTTCTATGGGTTTTAGTGGTCAACAAACTGCTATCACTTCTAGAAGAGGCGGGCACAAAAGTGGTAGCCTACGCGGATGACGTGGTTATCCTACTGCAGGGCAAATTCCCACAAACCCTTTGCAATCTAATGGAGACAGCCCGATCCACCCTCTCCCGGCGGACGGCTGGCTGTGGACTGGGAGTTAACCCAGAAAAGACCGAACTAGTTCTCTTTACAAGGAAGTATAAGGTACCAACTCTAGTTCCCCCAAAACTACACCAAAAGCGCCTAATCTTTAGCAACCAAGCAAAGTACCTAGGTGTCATCCTTGACAAAAAGCTCCTCTGGACAGATAACATCCTACATCGCACACGCAAAGCGGCCATAGCCCTCTTCGCTTGTAAAAAAGCAATAGGGAGGAAGTGGGGTTTCTCCCCCATGACAGTTCACTGGCTATATACTGCAATAGTCAGGCCCATTCTCCTCTACGGAAACATCGTTTGGTGGCCTTCTCTAGATAAGAACTGCAACCTCCGGATCCTTCACAAGATCCAAAGAAGCCCAGAGCTCTGCATCAGTGGGGCGCTTCGCACTACCGCCACTGAGGCACTAAACAGAATTCTCGATCTCCAACCCCTGGACCTACTTGCCAATAGCTGGGCATCTGCAACAGCGCTGAGGCTCCGTGAAGCAGCGGCATGGACAACAGGTTCCACGGGTCACTCCAATATCCGATCAAAGCATTCACCCCTACCAAGTAATACAGACTACGTCCCACCCATAGTCAACTTTGAAAGAAGATACAAGATCTATATACCCACCCGTACAGACTGGGACAACCTCCCACATCAATTCGTTAACGCCGTCAACATATACACGGACGGCTCCAAGCCTAACTCCCAAACAGGTGGGGGAGTCTTTTCCCCCGAACTAGACATAAAAGTCTTATTCCGCCTACCAGACCACTGTAGTGTTTTCCAAGCGGAACTCATGGCAATTCAGGAAGCCATATCCCACCTGGATACATGAGAACATCACGACATAGACATTTTCATCTTTTCGGATAGTCAAGCAGCCCTCAGGGCCCTCGACTCCTACACAACAAACTCAAAAACTATCTCTGAATGTCGCAAATCTCTGAACGAGATGGCCACTCTTCTAAGAATCAACCTCATCTGGGTGCGTGGACACCAAAATATTGAGGGAAACTGCATAGCAGACGAGCTGGCAAGGCAAGGGACAACCGCCGACATCCTTCGCGATAACGACACGGTGGGTATGCCCATGGCTACATGCAAGCTGCACCTCAGGCAGAGACTGTACACCCTCTCCAACAACAGATGGAACGCAATCTCAACATGCCACTATTCTAGACTCACGTGGCCAAATCACAACTCGAAAAGAACTAAAACTCTCCTACAATGTAATAGGGAAGACATCTCCATTCTCCTAATTCTCTCTCTCTTCTAGGGACTCATGCGCACAGGCTGGGACACAGTAACCACGACTTCTGCCGCATCTGCAAGCAGATAGACGAAATGGAGAGCATTGAACACCTCCTATGCTTCTGCCCAGCGCATAGCCTAAAGCGCTTTCCAACTTTAGGGAGCTTCACACTGCCGAACCTTGCGGCCATTCAGAACAAAATGAACAAACTATTTCGTGAAAACAAATAACCCATAAGATAGGGAAAAGGAGCTGCACAGAGATCACGTAGTATCACAAGGGGCCCAGTGTGGCCTAAGTGGGGGGATTAGTTATCTAATCTAAAACCACACCTACCTAACCCTTAAGATCTATGAGTTAGAAAATTTATAGATGCCAACATATAATCTAGAGAGCTCACCATTAATACATTGCTCTAATCATCGGAATCATCCGATCCACCAGAAGTCGACCCAGTACAGGTAGAAGAATCTGAATTTCATAGCCCAGAAGTAGAAGAGAAAGACTTAATTATCCTTAAAATTCCTTCTGTACTTTTTCAATCTGAATTATCAGATCAGGAACCAGCTGATTCCGATGGCGAAATTTAGCAACATCAAATAATAATAATGACAGAAGATATTGTTGCCCAACGGGCATACATTAAGGATATAGCAAATGCTTTCCCAGAATGCAACGGACAAAAACTCCACATTCACCGATTTATCACAGCCTTGAAATTAGTAAACATAACCAAAAGCACATTTAAAGAGATAACTTTTGAAGTCATAAAACCAAAATATAGTAGACTCAACTTTGTAAAAAGTGCAAGATGAGTCCACTATAAACGGAATTTAAAAAAAATGACAAGACACCATTATCGGCGAAACATCCAAGGTAGTCAAAGCAAAAATGGCAAAAACTACTCAAAAGGAAGAAACGGCCGAAA